CAAGTGTCGCGTGGGCGACACGATAAATTCCTTTCTCGTGAAGGGCTTGCGAACTAAAGATCCGATAATATAGGTGCGAACGACCGCAAATCCAACTGTGAGCGAAACTGACGCGATAAATTCACAGTTTATCTGTCGCGTAACAGAGGATAGCCCCGTTTCCGGTGGAACATCGCCGCACTCGTGGGAAGAGAGACCGTTTCTTTCTTTCAACGAGTTTAATAACTTCGTTTCGTCGCTGGTTTCTCAATTAAACGAAAAAACGGAGGGGATAACCGTGAGAGAGAGGAGAATGCTCGAATGCTCTTTGTACCGCGAGAATTTCGTGCGTTTTTAATTTCCTTTCGGAAATCGTCGAGCAAATCGTTCGAGTGTTCGTGAATTCCTATAACACTTTTAGCAACCACCGAAATAAATAATATCGATCAGCCATTTTATATTGAGGATATTGATGAGGTAATTGTACACTCATTTTTAGTGTTCCTTGCATTTCCAGATCTCAATATTCCTAGATATTATAGGTCATCATGGCTCTGAGTACCAATATCCCTAGATCATAATAGATCTGGGTCACCATCTTCTTAAGTCGAAATATCCCTAGATCGTAATAGTTCTGGGTCACCATCTTCTTAGGTCGAAATATCCCTAGATCCAAATATCCCTAAATTCAATTATCACTAGATCCAAATATCCCTAGATCCAAATATTTCTTGGTACAAATATACCTAGATCCAAATATCCCTAAATTCAATTATCACTAGATCCAAATATCTCTTGGTACAAATATCCCTAGATCCAAATCTTTCTTGGTACAAATATCCCTAGATCCAAATATCCTTAAATTCAATTATCACTAGATCCAAATATCTCTTGGTACAAATATCCCTAGATCCAAATATCCCCAGGCACCAATATCACTAAATCCAAATATTCCTAGATACAAATCTTTCCAGATTCAAACATCACTCGATCCAAATATTCCTAGGTACAAATATCACTAGATCCAAGTATCCCTAGATACAAAATGTCCCTGAATCTCTAGATGTCACTGTCACTAGATTTCAGTAATTTTCGTTTCAAGTATCCCTAGAGTGCAGTATCTCTCGGTGAAAATGTCTCTAGATTCCTATATCCCTAGATCTCAATACTGTACTGCTCAAATATCTCTGGATCCTAAATTTCAATATTCTCAGATATTAAACTAAAGTATCCCTAGGTTCCAATATAATCTTCCTGTATTTCTAGATTTGTTATATTCCATGACTTTATACTCCTACTACTTTTATCAACATTAACCCTG